CGAAATGTAGGAGTTATTTTAAATCCCAATAGCTGAGATTTTTATGGATATAATTCCCCATCTACTGTCTTCCATAAACTTGGCATCCAACTACTATGAGAATGCTTCTTCAAAAAATTTTTGGAAATATGTAATACACTATCAGAAATAAGGTCTAGATTTCGTCTAATTTATGAAAATTGTTATTTTGAATGTGTTTCGATAATATCTAACATTTGTTTTTCTGTATTCAGAGGTGGACCTAAAGTAAATATACATACATCTGTACATTAATTTTCCGTTTAAACTTCATAAAGAAGTTTGTTAAACAAGTTACTAAAGTACAGTAACACATCTATGTATATACACAGTAGGTACGTTTCTTCAAGAGGTGACATCAACTGAAGTATCACTAGTTAATTCGAACTTTACTTCATGAAGCATGGAAGAGAATCAAAGCCATTAACATTTACAACTTGAATCAATTTGTTCCACAGTACAGTTAAGATCTTATATCACCAACAAATTCTTGTTTAATCCACGTCCTGGCTGGCATATTAGGGCAAGTCTTAGGAGTAGAAAAGGTTTCAAACTAACTTTAGCTTAAAACAAAGAATACTCTGTCATGTATTTTGCTATATCATATTTTCAGTGTAATTTAAATGATCATATCGGTAGAGTTATATATATATATATATATGGGGGTTGGCGGGATCTTTGAAAGGAGGATCACAAGTGACCTAGTTTTTATTTATAAATGCAAACTTCTCTCTTGTAGCGAAAACCCCGTGTACATCATTTCTAACCCATATTTTCCGCAAATTTTTCTGCTCTGGTCACTTTTATCTTGTTAATTACCCTTTTATTTCTAAGGTCATGTCAGTCATTATATATATATATATATATATATATATATATATATATATATATATATATATATATATATATATATATATATATAGTTGTTCTGCCTTAATTTGTCTTCATTTAATATCAAGATTTCTATGAACTTGTGTTGCCTCCTTGGATTACGATTTTTAGACATAATTGTTGTGTACATCAGTAGTTACAGTATAGAGTTCCCATTAGTTCCCAATAGAAATAGAACAATCTCAATCGTTTGTAAACATCAGTAACCAAGACTTCAACGGAAACCCGAATTTAATTACTCACCAAAATTTAACACATTTGTGTAACATTGATTGTCTGCTTAAATTTTTAGAAATTACCAAATAAAAAAAGAATATTAGAAATCTATAAAATTGTCGAAAAACCAAGGGCATGAGTTAAAGGTAGATAATTTTCAACAAAGGGTTGTGGAAATTATTGAGTTTTAATTGAGATTATGAATCGATTGATGAACTGTTGAGAAGTTTCATACTAGGACGAAACGGACATCCAGTGCTTCCAGGTTTTCATTAATAGTTTAACATCTATCTCAATTAAAGGGATATGATTGACCTAATAATATATATATTGTCTTTTATATAGAATTATCATTATTATTATAAATGACTTGTCACATGGTACTAAAAACGACTACTATTAATACACAAGATATAATCATATTTATACTTTAAAAGTTAATTAATGACGTTCAAACAATATTCCAATTGTTCAATCTTTTATTGTTAACAAATAACTCCTATTTATTCTGGTTATTATTAATTTTAATTATTCAGTTTGTAAACTTAGTCATTGGAATTATTGAAGTGATTAATTTATTGAGTTAATAAATGCCAAAACACATGTTTCCTTTGTTCATCTAGGACTCCTCGTTAATCCATATCTATGGTTGTATAAATCATTAGATATAGGATATAGCACAACATTATTCTTAATTTTAACAGTTGAGATCATGAATCAATTGAGGCTAGACCACCATGAAAACCTGGAAGCACTGGACGGCCGTTTTGCCCTATTGTGGGACTCTTCGGCAGTGCTCATTCACGATCCCGCACTAGCAAGATTCGAACCCAGGAACTATCAGTCTCGCGTCAGTACTCAACCCCTAGATCACTGAGCCGGCATCTAACGGTGTTAATGTCTAACTCCATTGCTTCCAGGTTTTCCATATTGGTCTATTTTCAATTGACTCAAGATTTCAACTATAATATAATCCAATTGATTTATTACATTCACATGTAAATAAAATTATCATTCTATACTTTAACCGTAGAAAAACTTGAGAGAAATTATTTTAACTTTAAATAGTAAAGGATGAGATTACTCACAATTAATTAATTACTAGTAATAGTAACTATGTTTTTTTTTATATTCTTTTAATCGACCGATTGAGATATCCGAACTGATATCATTTGTTTGTTCGTTTTTTTAGTGATAAAGCCATACAGTATCAACATACATGAATTAGTGTTCCTTCTTGGTTTGAATATTTGAATGTGCGTATGTATAGTAGTAACAAACTAAAATGAATATTTCGAATAGATAGTTAATAAATTTAAAAAGGTATTTAGTAGTTATTCGTTGATTTTTTGTTCACTCAATTATGAGAAATATCAACCAATCAATTAACTAACTAATTAATTAATCATTATAAGCAAAGATAGATAGTGACTAGTAGTGGAATCCAGTTTGACGCGCGTTTCGTCCTATTTGGGACTCGTCAGCTGGATGTGCCCGCATATCAGAGTTGATGTTCACTCTGGGACTCGAACTCAGTATCATAATGAATTAATCAGCTGAGTTTAGTCAGTATATTCTGCTGGCTGGGTTTCAGTCTTATAGAGACAAAACATAAATAATAAGTGTTGTATTGAGTAGAAATTAGATATGGTTATTCGTTAACGAAGAATCTTAAAATTTGCTGATGCCTTAGTTCATTATTAATGAATAATAGGGAATTTGTAAATATTGTTCAATTTGAAATGCGTTAATAGCAGAAAAAGACATAAATTAAGAAACCAACAAAAAAATCAGAAGATATTGGGTGACCATTTGGCCAGAAATACGTGAATTCACACAAGAACGAAGACAGAACTGTTATATCATAACCGCTAAGATATCAGTTAACTACCGAAATGGTCGATATTTTAAATTTGTATTCATTCATAGTCTCAATCCATTAATTCTGATGATACTTAACTTAGAATGTTTGGTCCTATTACTTTACGAAGTTATAAGTGATCATCCCTGGGGTGTTAATTTACTTCTTCGGTCTGGGCACCCGGGTAGTATCACAGCCCATACACAAATCTAGTGACTTGTGTGGCGCACAAGTTTTCGGTGTATCATTGTACCAATATTTATGTGTTCACATAAATAAATAAATTTACTAGCAGTAAACAGACATCTGGCATTCGCAAACCTAAATTTTAGGGTTATTTATTCCATAATTAAAAATAAGTTCAAACTAGCAATTTTATTATCATTGATTCGTTTACTCACAATGCTAATAATTCACAACTTCTACTTCAATACCATGAAAAAAACCAACATCCTTCTTCCTTTTTTCTACCTTAGTAATTTAGGCAAAAACACCAGGTTTACAGATGAAGCTTTATGGGGTTGACTCAGTGTGAAACTAATCAAAATACATTAAGTTTATCAATTATATATGAACAAAAAATGTCTTAAAAATTTTTCATTAATATAAATTACTATAAGATGGTCTTAAAATTTTGTAGATAGTGCTCACACTGAATAATTTAGTGTAACAGAATAACAGTCTAAATCATAATGGTATGTTTAACAAAACTTGTAATTTAAGATTGCATATCCACAACAACTCCCCTTTTAATACTGTGATTTTCTTGGGTTTACTTGAAAATGAAACGTTCACTGCAGTTGTCGGGTAAACCATCTTCCAGGATATATGTCTATTTATTCTAGAAGAATCACCACCGCATTTAATTTCGTTTCATTTGAGGGCTGCGATACATTATCTGATCAAACCTTCCTGCCACACTCTCCTCTATTCATTCATTGTGGTTTGGTATGTAATCTCGGAAGAACAGAGGAGCTCCAATTCTGAATGCTAGGGTTTTCATTGATACTACATTTTTACAAGTTTTCCTTTTCTGTAACATCAGGTGATGGTTTGGATGTCTGCAGTTTACACCGAAAAGACTCGAACGACTGTGTACCAAAGACTTGATGCACAATCTTTTGTACCTAACATGATGATTACCGATCCACTAGCTGCTGTCACCAGATATGACAGTTGATAGGGTTTTTACGATTCTTCAGTTCGAAATTATATCAAATTGGAATCAGTACCAATCTCTGTGTGTCGGTATTTCGGATTTTGAACCAAAAACTGCAAGTAGTAGCTTATGCTCTATGAGGAGTGTAAATTTCTAGACATACAAAACTTGTGAAAGCAACAGACGGCGAACACCGAGGATAAAGTTTCGTTTCTTATTTGATTATATTTTTTCGCTATCGGGGTTACTGTTAGGTCAGCACAATGGCTTTTCCTTTTCTTTCCTTTAATGAAGGTAATATGAATGCGTCAACACCAAAAATTGAGGTATCGGCCGCTACAATGGTTGACAACGTGGGGTCGCAATGTTCCAGTAATATTTCAGAGCTCATTAATGATTTCAGTTTACAAATTGTTGATTTACATTCATTAATATAATCAGCCTACACAGATTGGTAACCATTTGTGATGACAACAAAACACTAATTTTAGTGTAAGTGAGATCATGACCATGTGATAATAAATTGAACTTGACTGACTGATTTATTAAGAATCCTGTGGTTGAATGACCTACTTAGCATAAGAGGTACAAGACTAAAATGCAATCCAGAGTTTACAAGATGAATCATTTTATACACTTCGTATATATTTCATAATTCTCGGTTACAATTATCACAGTAAGAAATATAAACATCGACGTATACCCACAAACGGATAAACTTCTGGACACACAACTTATATTCAGTTATCGTATACGTGTTAAAGTCAAATTTTACTTGCACTATATTTTGTGTCACAGTTAAAATTAACAGTTTTATAAATTAATGTCTTGAACTTTTTTTCTTAACTAATTCAGGTTTGTTGTTATCTATCAAACTACAATTACATATTGTAAATTTGCATCCAACAATTCTTGCAGACGGGAATATAATTCATCATAGAACTAAACGATGGGCCTTTTATGAAATACATAAATGTGGTCGTATTAAAGGATATAGTTGTTTAGAACATCGTCACTGTTATGAGCGTTATCTGCGTCGTGATATGGTTTGCTTTGAAGTTTATCCTTGTTTAAGTTCGTGTATATTTATTGCTCAGGTAAGAGTTAATAATTCAGTCAATTAGTTATACTGTTTATACTCTTTTTGAATGTGTATTTTAATGTTACTAACATAGACCAGATAAAGAATTACTATTGAACAATCGGATGCGTATCATCTTGATACTTATTAGTGCAAATGAAAATATCATATCAGAAACATGCTAATAGTCTAAGTGTTAGCGCTAGTCAGATGACCTGAAGGTTTTAGCGTCAATCCCGGTGGAATCGTTGGCGTGCACTGCTGAGGAGTCTCACTCTAGGGCAGAAATTCTGTCCAGTGATTCCTAGTATTCAGTCGTTATTTAAACAAGGTCAGTCCGTGATGCAAACCATAAAAAATTCAAGAGAACAGAGCACATCATCTAATAATATGTCATTAGCGTCAGGCGTTTTATTGGCATATTAAACAATAATCTGTTCACCATTTTACTCCGTCAAGAAGATACTTGGGAAAAAACAGTTTTACACTGAATACGTTATTTGATTCTCGACATTGCTTATTGGTCTACTGTATCATATTATCAGTGTGTGTTGTATTATCAATCTCTATTCTGAACTAATATAGTATTGTAAGCTCATTATTGAAGTGTAATCCAGATCTTAGTACCGACTAGATTTTGTTCAGTAAAGAAGTTGATATATTTTCACAATACAGCATAAGTTGATTTAGGCAATATAATATTAATATAATATTAAAAGTTATCATATAAGAAAATGTCCTAAGGATTTATTATAGCAAAACATAAGCCATTCACGACTAGATGAATAGGTGAATTATGACTAACAGTGAAATCCAGAATGCGCTATATTGAGGCAATCCTTACAGGATCTAGATTTATCAATGATGGCTGATCAAAACTCTGTACTGATTATCAACAACGGGATAATTTAAACACTTTATAATTAATAACATGACAGAATGAGTTACAAATCAATTCCCGACACATTTGTTTAATTTACCTTAATTTGAATTTTTGTTATTCTTTAATAAAACTCATTATTATATGTAGTAAAGAACATATTGCTTAAAAAAAGACACTAACTATTGTTCTTTCACATTTGAAATCTTTCTTAAACAGATATCGCTCGTTTCCTTGTTTTACAGCTTCACGATGCTGAAAAATTAAATGAACAAATTAAAAAATTATTATTAGACGGTATACCAGTCAATAATCATAACGATCCAATTAATTATGTACGAGAACAAACGGCAAAATTATTGAAGGAATTAAATTTAACTCTACCATCGCATAATCAATCAGAAGTCTCAGCGCCGTCATCAGCATCATTAGTATGATCATTGTCGGAATAATCTAATATGAATCAACCCAGGAGTTTCATGACATCATAAGTCATAAAATTATAATGATGATTTAAAGAAGAAACCAAGATTATTATTATTATCATATCTTTTCTGTTTTGTACATGTTTTGTATTTCTTTTCACTTCTTTTCTGAAATTCTATTTGTACTTAAGTTTTCTTGTTTATTTGTATATTTTCATTCCTTGAATCAAAAGCTTTCCTATCCTCAATTCATTGAATGAAACAAGTGCATTTGAGAAATGGTCATTATTATCCATGGTACAAATAATAATATACCTCCATAAATAATTCCAATACTACTACTAGTAACACTGTTACTACACTGCTACTACTACTACTACTACTGCTACCCAAACTCATTTTACTATCAATACTACTGATATTACTTACAAAGAAGAAAATAATACAGGGAAATAAAACAACTAGAAAAGATCAAGATATGAGAAAAAATAGAGACAAGATAATCTGTGATATGCATTATACATATGTACATAGTTCTTTGTTTTTCAAGATATAAATATAATTTTTATTCTTATTTCACATAAACATACTTACTTACTTACGCCTGTTACCTCTCGTGGAGGAGCATAGGCCGCCCACCGGTAATGGATATACTACTAATTTGTAAAAAAATTTCAGAAAATAAAATTTGTACAGTAGTGTATTAATTATTATTTTAAAAGGGGTTTGGTGGAGATTTTAGCAATTTTATAGAGTTGAGATCATGAGTCAATTGAAGCTAGACCACCATCAAAAACCTGGAAGCACTGGACGGCCGTTTCGTCTTATTACGGGACTCCTCAGCAGTGCACATCCACGATCCCGCACTAGCGGGATTCGAACCCAGGACCTACCAGTCTTGCTCCAGAGCACTTAACTGATAGACCACTGAGCCGGCCGGTATCCAACGGCGTTAATGTCTAACTTCAACCGATCCACGAAATTGAGCAACCATTCACCGAAGTCTTCAGTGAGTTGATATCTCCCAACAGACCTGGTTGAACTCCACTGGTTACTGCTTCGCATTAGAACTCCTGGAGCCAGTTACTAGTGAGCACATGATCATTATCAGAAGGGGTTTTATGGAGATTTTAGTAATTTAATAGTTGAAATCATGAGTCAATTATAGCTAGACCACCATAGAAAACCTGGAAGCACTGGACAGCCGTTTCAACTCAGTGGTCTGTAGGTTAAGCGTTCGCGCGCGAGACCAATAGGTCCTGGATTCGAATCCCGCTAGTGTGGGATCGTGGATGCGCACTGCTGAGGAGTCCTATAATAAGACGAAACGGCCGTCCAGTGCTTCCAGGTTTTCGATGGTGGTCTAGCTTCAATTGACTGATGATCTCAACTTTATAAAATTATTATTTTAATTTGAAGATTTTAATGCTGATAGTGCGAGTGATGGATAAGATGTTTGATTTATTTCAATGAATGAAAAAGAAAATCTCATATGTTTAAAAGGTGCACGTTTAAAGAGTTTAGATAATTACTTATAAGTTTCACGATTATATGACAATCTAGGTTGTGAAAGCTACCATAAGCCTGATATTGTTTGTCAATCAGTTTAATTAAAAAAACAAACTATTATTTGTGTGGTTTAATTATGATAAGATAATCATCACATCATGATTCGGGTGAGACTATAATCTATGGACGTCCTTTGAGTGACGCTGAGCTAAACTTTACAATAACCACCTACTAACGAGGACTACATGTAAATTATAAAGCACTGTTTGGAATCACAGTTAACATTTACAGTTGATGGTTATCGTTTTCCACACGAACAGACATCAGCTAAAATGTCAAAACGCTATTTAACCAAATGGATGGATAAATTTTATGCCGAAATCCAAGACGTATTATCTTATTTCTGATTGGTTCGTTGATATTTTACTGTCTCGCTATGATTCGAATTCAAAGCGTAGTTAATTCAACTTCTTTGTTGGTCGCTTTTTCATTTAATTTCAGATGGTATAAGATAAATAAATTTTGTCTCATTATGAAAAACAAATGACTTTATCTTATGTTCACAGGGAATAGTCAAACTTGATTACAAAAATACAATTAGACAGATTGTTCAATGATTCTATTAAGTGGAAACATAAATGAATGAATCATATTCACATAGAAATTATATACAAAAACCTTTTTCTTATTAAAAAAAAAGAAAAGAAACGCAGATATATTGTGATGTGTAAGCCAAAATAAATGATATTTTGAATGCACTATAGGATGTATATATTGGGGGGGGGGGAAACAACATATTTATTAGTCCACATATCTTGATTGAAAAATATCATTCACTATGATCTTGTAATAATTCAAGGTTGTCTAGTTATTATATTCAGATATTGGTGTCCTATTTTCAGTTAGGTACCGACAATTTGATTTTCATTATTCAAATTAAAGTGACTTTAAATTAGACAAATAATAATTATATGAGAATAGTTGGAGACTATTGGAATTATCAGGAGAATAGAACAGTTGTTTAGTTATAATTTAGGCCTACTTGACCTTACATACCTATGACATCATATCGAATTGAACATGGAACTTCTATCTCTTAAGGTTATCAATTTTTAAATCAGCGATCAAACATGTCAAGAGTGAGATAAGCATGGATGATATCCACTCTATATAATCAAATTACTGAGTTTGAAAATATCAGTTATCGTGTGCAGATTCTTCGTTCTAAAAATAAAGTACTTGCTGAAAGAAATGAACGTACTATGTTCCATAATGTATACGGTGTTTTGGGCGCTTACTTCGTGTAGACTTTGAGCAAAACGAAATACCTATTTAATAGTCTCTCAGTCTTTGAGAAATCTAATCGATTTTTATTTTCTTGTCTTGGCTATTTTGAAAATGAGTTATTTTTCAGTGCCCAAAGTAGACTGTCTTGTTTTCTACTTCACTTGTTAGTAACATGTTATGTTTCTATAGAATGAAATGTGTTGAAATACACTTTTAATAAATGATTAATTTCTAGTGTGTCTACCTGATAATATCAAATTAAAGTAATTTCAAACTATATGAATACATCTATTTGATAAATTCGGCATTCAGTCAAACAAGTAAGTTTCCTTTAGTGTAATAAAATCAGATATTATTCTTTAGTTATATTAAAATATTTTACCAGTGGGATTAACACTTTATTCTTAGGGTAATCGTCATAACTCATTATTAATAAGGTTTTAAATGCTCTCATTGTTGTTCAGGAGTGAAATTTGAAGAAGAATAGTCAATATTTAACCACTTGGAAAAGTAGAAAGCTTTATAATGTTTGAGTCAGAATAAATTCTTTGTGGAGGTGAAATATTACGAGGCACGAATGAAAATCCGTTATAAAAAGAGGTGAAGTAGGATGCCTCAAACTAGATGCGAGTGATGTGATGATTTATTTTCGAGAATACTGTGAAATACTGAACACTGGTTCCCTTTCAATGGCAGTTATGGTACTATTGAATGACCGTAATATAACAGTAAAATAAACAGGTTTTTCCTTGATGATTTTAGCGCTTGATGCCATCCTGCGCTGGATAATTAGATTGATAGGACTAAACACTAGACTGAGTACTAAATCAGTGGATCGCGATGAATCACGATACTTAATCAAATAATGAGGTGTCACACAAATATGCGATAACTGATCAAGAACCCATTATTTACTATATTCACAATATATTATGATAAATACAAACTTTTAAAGAATATATATAAATTTCCGTCTGTGCTCAATATTGATCAATACTCATTACCATCGGATATATTCCAACGTTTGAAGAATTGATATATGGCATTCAGAAAATTTTAACGAATTCTTTGGACAGATATTGACAAATTATAGACATATTTAACAGTGATTGTCTCTGAAGTTAGTAAAAAGAATTTCGAAACAAAGTAACATTCAGTTTCACGAATAATGAGATTTTCAATGCACTGTATGAAAACAACATAAGTGATCGCTTTAATCGTCCAAAAAAAACTTAAGAGTGATCTCAAATGTGAGTCTTTGAGTATTGACGATTGATTCCTTCTGTAATTTCAATGATCACAAAGAGAATACACACCAATGCTTGAGAAAAATTTCGGATCTCCGAGGAAACCAAGATGAAACTTGTGAAAGTTTATTTGTAAAATTAAAACGACACATACTTTGCAATTTATTCAATTTCAGATAGAAAATGACTCGTTCATGACACATGATTTTGATTAGCTGAAAGTAGACAGATTTCTCTCCGGGTTCTATGGCGATAAATAAATTCCTACAATAAATAGTTCGGCTGACCTTCGAAATTGAAACTGGACTCATTATTTTTACTGGATACAATCTAGCTGGATGAGTTTGATCAGTTATCCATAACAGACCATGACTGTGTACGATATGCAACACATACCTCCAAACAACTAGTCAACTTAGTCCACACATTTCTGGGCTAATTTGGCTATTTTGCAAATATGTATATATTCAAACTTGTTTATTCCTGACTTTTGGTTTAGTTGGGTTATGGACAACGACGTTGTCTAGCTCTAAATATCTATGACATCTTTGGTGGTGAGCCCGATGTGATCTAGTACACCAAGCAATAAACTGTTCGTCTACTCCTTGTTGTAAGATAATAATAAATGTCTTTACATAGTGTGATATTATTTTTATGTTCTCAGGACGTTTTCGGATATTCATAAATTTTATTTTTACTATGTCGTAATAAATATCTAAACTTTTAAAAACTTAGGACTCCAACCTTTCAACACATACGATTCTGACCCAGCAATATGGAAACTTTATTATGCTATCTGGAATCTGAAGTACAGCATGACTGACCAACTTTGGCAGTTTTTCAGAGTAGTGATGGGATTGCCACGCGCGTTCAACAGGTACTCTATAATTATTATGCTAAGTAGTGATGTTTTTGAACCCTGCGGCACATGAAAAAGACCATCCGTAAACCTGAAGACCTAACTGAACAATAAAGATCAAACCAGTTATTCCACAATATCGAATTGCAACACAACAGAAACGTTGCTACGTATGTGAGAGGTCATCGGCTAATAAACTTAGATGAAAGTGTTTTTAGACAACTCTTTTCTTCTAAGCTTCCCCATCAAGGCAAAGAGGTTGTCGTTTCATTCCAAAATACTGCTGTTCCGATTGTGAAGATTATCAAAATCCTCAGCATTAATGTTTGTTCTTTCAAAGAAAAACCTCAGATGCCAAACGAAATTATAGATCTGTGTAGTACTATCACTCATTTCTCTAACATTCAGTATGATTGCAGATGTTACAAAACTTCTCAGGTAAGCCCATCAAGCAGAAGATATTTCTAGACCGCGAAAAACGGATATCTTTAGTTGGTGTTGGTACCGCAAAATCTGTGATAAGTCTTCTAGAACAGCAAAAGATGCTGCAGAGTCCTTTGGTAAAATGTGAAAACCATACATTAAATACTTTATTTGCAAATCTTCCATCAGTTGTCCTTTACATTTTACATGATTCTTCCGATTCTTAATTATTTTCCATTTCTCCTTTTGTTTTTTCAGCTCAATTTTCTCAAACTTCTTTTGACAGGTATTCCACGTCTGATCGGGGTTACATACTACTTGTCTGTAGACACAAGTAGCGTACACCACAGCACAACACTATAGTCTACTCATTGACTCAAACAAACGGAAGTTAGTAGGCGGAGATAATAGAATATCAGTTTACGGGGTTTCGTTTTCTGGTTGTAGGTTGTACCCAGTCACAATTATTGATGCAAGTGGTCAGTACTTCAAACCCGTGACATCTTTAATCACTTCACCTGTCTCCCGATTACTCCCATCCAGTTGAACCTACTCACAATGAGAAATGATAATAGTTAGGTAGTGATAAGGTTTGTTAAGATTTAGTGATCCTACACAATTAGGTAGCTTCTCATGTAACCCAATGATAAAGCTTAAATAATTGTCACGAAACACTAACTGACTAAATGTTTTCCCTACTCATAAATTACTTGATCTCTTTGTCTGATTGGATTTAACCCGGTCGTATTGTTAAAATTATAATGAACAGACAAGTACTTCAAAGTAACTGAATTCAAAGCTCCGTGCCATGAAAAAAAGAATTTAAATATGATTGTTAAAGTATTGCAAATAGGAAAGATACTTAGCAAACCAAAACCTATAAAAGAATAAATATTTTGGGTTTTGTGTAATATACTACTAATAATTAACATAAACTATGTGATTAACTCATACTGACCTAATATTTAACGTAAATACACATCAATCTAAGCTGACACATCACATCGACACAGTGAGAAGAATGTGTAGCAAAGAATCTCTGTAATAGTAGTATCCGTGATAGCTAAAGAATAATCAAAGAGGTGATTACTAAAGAAAGGATGAATCCAAATGTTAAAAAGTACGAGTTAATTTAAAAGCTCAGTATGTGAAAAAAGATAATAAACGGACGCGCGCCACCAACCGTTTATCATGGTTATCGCTCATGTACCAGCCTGATGGTCTGCTGACACCAACGATGAGTTGTCACTATGGGCTGTGTAGATTATCTAAGTAAAACCACCATTGAAAACCTGGAAGCACTAGATAGCCATTTGTCCTAGTAAGGCGCTCTTTAGCAGTGTTCATCCATGACCACACGATCGGAAATTGACCGCAGAATCTCTTATTGTGCGCGAAAACGTTCAAACTCTACACAACTGAGCCGTAATTCAATGATGTATAGGTCCAATTTCAATCAGTTCACACTATCGTGCGACCAACTTTCACTGTTCTCGATGAATACCTTTCTCACATCCGACAAGGTTAAACTCCACTGGTCACGGTACCGCAATAGAACTACGGAAATCTTCTCGAAGCTGATCACTAATGACAACATGATAATTATCAGTGTGGGTTTTGAAGACTATTAGATTTCATTGAAACCGCGAACTTATTTAAATGGGGTTTTCGAAATGATGGCTTGCCTTGATTCGGTTACTCCTACATGTTTTTCAGCTTAATCCTACATCAGAAAGCCATGAAGTGGTAATCATAGTTTGGTCTTCTATATCACATTCTCTTTCTTCTCTGGTCTATAAAACCTCAGTTTTCTGCAGGCTAATTTTGCTGATACACAAGCACAAATATACTATACCCGTTAGTGAACGCTTAAATTACCACTATAACAAATAGAGTAGTCAATCTTATATAATTTGTTTTTATTCCTAATTATAATCGGTATTTATAGGTCAGTTTATGTTTCATAACATGTGATCAAGTATCTCTTACAGCTTCCCCGACTAGACTAGACAAAAAGGATCATCTAAAGTAACGGTTTACACGATTCATTTCCTGATGCTATATTTACATTTTGTAATATTCTAAAATTATCTTCACATTTTATTGACGTCTGTAATGTTTTTACTTTATATTTTAATACAATAAATTCTTGCAAATACTTATTACAGTAATCAATAATACTGAACCGTATTTATAGAAGTGATGAACTGTGACTAGCAGTGAAATCCAGGAAGTACATTTCAAGCTTACTCTAAGATTAGAACATTGACCATTATAATAGGATTCGAATATGATTTAATGATACACAAGTGATTTTATTATTAGAATTAAAATTAAGTGGGTTATAAAGTAACTGGAATAACTACAGTGTTCTGACTGATTTATTTAAACACATAAATATTGGTACAAAGGGGCACCAGATATATATGCGCCTCACAAATCTCATTTGATTTGTGTAAGGGCTGTTATACTGCTCGGGTGCCCAAACTGAAGCAGGTGGTTTTCTTAGGGAGCCACACCCCGAGCCTTTGACCTAAAGATCTGATCCACAAGGCAGTGAAGCAACATCAGGAGATGCAGTCCGATGGTAGTCGGTGACAAACAATTGATTAATACGCCATTTGTTCCCTCAGGATCCTGATGTCCATGTGCATCATTGGTTTGGAATCAGAGTTTTTCAACTCCCCTAGGTTGACTTCCCGTGTCCACCAACCCGGTTAAAGCGCCGGACATTAGCTTTTCATCCTCTCAATTTCGTAAACAACAACCCCATCACGAGAAGGCAGTGAGTAGAACTTCCCTGACAGAGGCTATACACGCCTGACCATGTGAGAGCACTTCGATAGGGAGAGCGGACTCTCCCCATTCTCGGCTGTACCAGGGCACTTGGGGGCTGATTATTAGTCCACAAAATCCAGCCTCAAATTTCAATTTAGATTTCACCAGTCAGAACCAATACTTTAGAGTTGATTATTATAGATGTCACCAATAGACAAGATAAAATGACATCAGATAACAAATTTGTATCATTGACAATGGAAAAAAACTACAAAAACTAACCACTTACCCTTCTCTTACATAATAGATGGTTCGTGGTCAGCAGTGAAACTCAATAAGCGTGCATCATTTTATTTGGAAAATGTCAGCTAAATGTACTTCCGTCTCAGTTTTATGTTTAAATTAGGACTTGAAAATCGGTAAATTTGAAATGCGGTTAGAATTCGGTTATTATACTGTAGTTAATGTAAAGAAAACTGTCTACTTCGCATTTGTTTGAGTTTTTATAATACTGAATTATTTTCAAAGTCCACTCGTTCTCATTGGTTTATACACTTAGCGTTTGTGTGCCTAAATATAATGATCTTTACTGATACTAAATAATTCCTAAATATGCAGTCAGTAGATGTAGTTGAAAATATGACACTGTGTCAAATGATTTTGAACCTCACAAAGGAGTATCCGTTCCACAGGGATAACTAGTGAACCCCAATAATGAGTGCTAAATAAAAGTAATCTAAGTTCAGTACTTTTTGAGAATTACCTCTAATTACATAACGTCATAGTTGTTGGTATTGACTACTGGAAAACCATCAGATATATGCGGTATCAAGTATCTTTGGTCAGTGGGTACAGTGAAATTAAGAAGGTTGAATTCATCCAATCAAAATATATGCCACCGTCTAATACTACTCAGTAGTTAATCAGTATATGTTACATATACATGAAAACACACAGTTGTTAAGAAACAGTTTATGAACATTATTATCACATAACTTGATATCATCATCTCATCATCATCAAGGGGTTTGGTGGAGAATTCAGTAATTTTATATAGTTGAAATCATGAGTCAATTAAAGCTAGACCACCATGGAAAACTTGGAACAACTGGACGGCCGTTTAGTCCTATTGTGGAACTCCTCAGCAGTGCGCATCCACGATCCCGCTCGCGGCATTGATCATCATCATCTTGTAGAATGACATTGTTTTCTGAAAAAAATATTTTATAGTTCTCCATCTAAACATTTATTTACTTAAAATTGTTTCACTATTACAAAACTCTTATTTCTTCTCTGTTTTCCAACTGAAGACTGATGAGATTCCGATCTCACACATTCCAGTTTTTAAATACATACCTTCAAGTTGTATTGTAATTTGTTGGTATTGTTTACTAAGTGAGTTATAAAAAATCAAGCGTTTATTCAATATAAAATCTATGTAATATCTATATAACAGTTATCTGATGCACAACACATGCAAATATGCTTGTAATTGAAAGCGTGAGTTATAAGAAAGTTAAAAGGGATTTGGAGAGAACGATATAAGAAAAACGTAATGTTATCAACAGATAGTTATATGGATATATACATAAATGTGAGACAGATAAAAAAAACACTGTATAAACATCAAAAAACACATTGAAATCAATTACAGGGTGTAGTGTAACACAAAGAAAAGTCTTCTGAAGTTCACAAGTAAAAATAATTGATTTATAATTATACAAATTGATTATTAATAGGGAATTTCCACGTTGGTCAATTTCAGCTTCAATGAATGATTCCACTCTTATTAATTGTATCGTATTTCATCCATTGGTTGTAAAAAAAAGAAACTAACTTATTCTGTTATGTTCCACCTAACGGCAGTGACATATTTAAATCTTGGGCTAATTTCTTTGTTTTTTCACGTACAAAATTTACTGCATCATCATGATTATTTACAGGTATTCCCTTGATCATTAAACGTTCAATTTGTTGTGCAAATTTCTCATAGTCATATAACTATGTTTAAAAATGAAAGTGAGAAATTATAATTAAGAATATGAATATTTTGTGATTATTTATCATCTGCTACTGAATGTAAGTTTAAGTAGTAAACGTCTATACATTGTTCATTGATATTTGGGCTTTATAGATTACTTTCAACCCATTTTGTTGATTATTTGATTTAATTTTTGTAAAAAACTCATCTTATAAATGAAATGGGAGATTATGTTTCTGTGTGTTCTGATAACTCATTTAAATGATCTTTAATTTAAATAGATATGTTATTTATAAGATGGTGGTTAGAGATGGTCAACAGGAAACCCTTGACCCGGATTTCGTGCTACTTGGCACTCATCAGCAAGGTGAACCTGTGATCTTGAGGGAACTGGTGCTCCCTGACGGATTTGATCCCGTGTCACCTAGGTTCACAGTCAGAGACATTACCACTGAGCTATTTGGATCGCGATCAGCTAAGGAACCTTTAATTTCATTTAGAATATATTTCAATGGGAGTTTTGAGGTTGACATGTAAATGGTATCATCAATTAAATAAAATTGAAAAATATAACCTGTTTCCTTGGAGAAATAAGAAAAAATATGTTAAACTGTACATGCAAGGTGTTAGTTTTATGTTACTACAGATAGGTTTTTAAAAAAGCATCTGAATAACTTATAATATTAATCATAGTGAATAAATGTTAAAACGTTTATAAGTAAAATTCACTTCGAACATTTGCAATTATGTTAAAAGTGATTTGTACATTATTCACTAATTGCATAGTCTAAATTACTATTTCTTTCTTTCTAAACATATATGTATTGTCAGAAAGGGGTTTTGTGGAGATTTTAGTAATTTTATATAGTTGGAATCATGAGTGAATTGAAGCTAGACTACCATGGAAAACCTGGAAGCACTGGACGGCTGTTTCGTCCAGTAGAGTTCAACCAGGTCTGTTGAGAGATATAAACTCACTGAAGACTTCGGTGAATGGTTGCTCAATTTCGTGGATCGGTTGAAGTTAGACATTAACACCTTTCGATGCCGGCTCAGTGGTGTAGTGGTTAAGCTCTGGCATGCGAGATTGATAGGTCCTTGGTTGGAATCTTGCGAGGCGGGATCGTAGATACGCGCTGCTGAAGAGTCTCACATTAGAATGAAATGGCCGTCCAGGGCTTCTAGGTTTTTCATGGTGGTCTAGCTTCAATTGACTCATGACTTAAACTATATATGTATTGTCTATATACGGTACTGAATTTGATCACTATCTTATTCCTAAAGCTAATGTTTCAGTGTTCCCTGCACTTTAAAATTTATTTAAATCTCGTAATGTCATAAACTAAAATCCAAAGCACCCGTTTCGTGATCGAAATCGTTCCTAACTATTAACATTTAAAAACTACAAACTCTTTAAATTAATGATAAATATCAGATTAGTTAAGTACATTTATACTTCATATAGGTTCAGCTGTTCAGTCGATGAAACTTTGATGTTTCAAGTACGAAAGACTGAACGCAAGTCTCACTGTGAACTACAACAGTAGATTACCGATATAATCAATAGACAATTCCAAAACAGAGTAGAATGCATATACTGTATACTGATACTATCTCAAATCCAAAAAAAAATAAAGTATATGAAAACTATATGAAGTAATAATGAAATTAACTATAGTGAGTTCTTACCTGAGCAATAAATATACATGAACTTAAACATGGATAAACTTCAAAACAAACCATATCATGACGTAGATAACGTTCATAACAGTGACGATGTTCTAAACAACTATATCCTTTAATACGACCACATTTATGTATTTCATAATAAGCCCATCGTTTAGGTCGATAACGTTGTAATGTAATATTATTTGTATGGATTGGCAATAAAGAAACAATGAATAATTCTAAATGAATAATTAAGAAAACACCTAAAAACAAACAGAAAGGTTAATGCAATTAAAGCATGTGAAGTCTTGATCCCTTGGAAAAATAAAAACATTTGAATCATTATATCAAACATCCACTTGGTGTCATTTAGTTGAATCTTCTCATTGATGTTTAGGACTGCAAGTGATCAGTCTCGTATTGGCATATGTGCATACTGTGCGGATTGCCGCGATATTGCCTTAATTCACAAGTACTATAGGCAAGGATGAATAGTGGCTAGCAATGGAATCCAGTTTGACGCGCGTTTCATCCTATTTAGAACTCGTCAGCTGGATGTACCTGAATCTCATAGTTGATGTTCACTCTGGGACTCAAACCCATTACCGTTAGTTTAAAACTATGATCGGTGGTGATTATGAATATAGTCAAAAATTTCCAGTAAGAGTATAGTTCATGGACAAGCCTGCAATGACCGTTTGGTTCGTTGTTAGTCTATCAGAAAACACGTATTGTAAGTGAATAGTTTCTAAAGAAAAATAGTAATAATGGGTGCACATATCCCATATGATTAATGAATCTATTGATGTATTCTACAGATTACTTTGTCTGTAAACTGAAAAACAGATACATATATGGTTCCATCCACATGGATATAGAATATCAGTCTTCTCGAACCCTAGTAAGGACATTAATTACTTACTTACGCCTGTTACCCCCAATGGAGCATAGGCCACCGACCAGTACTCTCCAACCCACTCTGTCCTGGGCCTTCTTTTCTAGTTCTATCCAGTTCTTGTTCATTCTTCTCATGTCTGTCTCTATTTCTCGGCGTAATGTGTTCTTTGGTCTTCCTCTTCTACTTTGACCTTGAGCATTCCAACTGGAGGCTTGCCTTCTGACACAATTGGCTGCTTTCTTCCATGTGTGTCTTATCCACTTCCAGCACTTCTTTCTTCCTGCGCTGGAATCTGGTTTGTTCTCTTCCACATTAGGTTGTTGCTGATAATGTCTGGCCAACAGATCCGAAGTATTTTGCGTAGACAACTGTTAACAAACACTTGTATCTTCTGGATAATGGCTTTCGTAATTTCCCACGTCTCCGTTCCATACAGTAGAACTGTCTTGACATTTGTATTGAAAATTCTGACTTTGGTGTTGGTTGACAATTGTTTTGAGTTTCAGATGTTCTTCAGTTGTAAATATGCTGCTCTTGCTTTGCCGATCCGCACCTTAACATCTGCATCAGATCCACTGTGCTCATCAATGATGTTTCCCAGATATGTAAAGGTTTTCACATCCTCCAAAGCTTCTCCGTCAAGTGTAATTCTATTGATGCATGTTGTGTTGTATCAGAGAATCTCGCTTTTGCTTTGTGTATTTTGAGACCTTCTACTGCTGAGGCTGCTGCTACACTAGTCATCTTCTCCGGCATTTGTTGCTGCGTTCGAGATAGAAGAGCCAGATCATCTGTGAAATCTAAATCGTCCAGCTGCATCCTAGCTGTCCACTGTATCTAGTGCTTCCTCCAGATGTTGACATCTTCATGATCCAACCGATCACCAGAAGAAAGAGAAAGGGTGAGATTAAGCAACCTTGCCTGACACCGGTCTTTATCTCGAATGAGTCGGTCAGTTGTCCTCCATGAACGATTTGGCAGTTTAATCCATCATAGGAATTCCGTATGATATTGACTATCTTCTCAGGCACGCCGTAGTGTCTAAGAATCTCCCATAGTGTCATCCGGTCCACGCTATCAAATGCTTTTTCGTAGTCAATGAAGTTGATGTAGAGTGACGAATTCTATTCAATTGATTGTTCCACAATGATCTGTAGAATTGAGATTTGGTCTGTACACGGTCGATCCTTACGGAATCCAGCCTTTTGTTCACGAAGTTGGACGTCTACGGAGTTCTTCATTCTGTTTAACAACACCCTGTTGAAGATCTTTCCTGGTATTGAGAGAAGATTGATGTCTCTGTAGTTATCTCACTTGCTGAGATCATCTTTCTTTGGTATTTTGATCAGACGTCCTTCTTTCCAGTCTGTTGGTATTTATTCTTCATCCCAAATCTTACTGAAGAGAATGTTGAGTATCTTTGCAGTTACTGCTACATTTGAAGATAGTCGTTGTTGTCTAACCTGCGTCCAATATGTTACACCGATTCCAAGCACCTCTAGGTTGTATTTCCTCATTTCTGCTGCAGTTTGGAAGACTCTTCCGATTTCCGACATTGTCCGGGCGTTCCATATATCCATAAAAATTGTTGCTCTGGTCGTTAGAAGGAGTATCAGCCTCGTGACTTTCGAAGGAACTCCGCTTTCACCATGAGGCGTAATAACTCTTCTAAATGAAGACCTTTTAGCTCCCAGGGCAGACTGTAAATGGTCTGAATACTTTTTTCTGGCTAGTGTTTTTTAGTGAGTTAACTTTCTACGGGATAGGATCGCTAACCCCATCCTCAACCCTCTTCCTCTATCTGGGTTTGAGACCAGCAATAGCCCTCGAAGGGGCTACAGGCGGAGTTTAATAAGGACATAAAAAAACTTAAAGGAGTTCTCATATAGTCTTTGGTTGGTAGTTTGAAGTTAGGGTTAAGCGTTTAGGGTTAGCGATTAATGGTTAGCCTTATGGTTGAGATTGAGGGTTTTGGGATAGGGTTGATTCGAATGTTACAAATAATTCATGTAGAAAGAATTGAGCTCATGATGCCGTTAATATTATCTTAATTACTCTGTGATTAATAAAAATAATTTTTCCTAATAATTTTGAAGACTCTGGACAATATATAAAATTATTTTTTCTGCTTGTTTACCGTAAGATGAAAGTGATTCATTTTGAAATTCACGTGGAACTTCAACAGTTGTTTACTCGATTTTGACCGGCTCATTCCTATGCTACAAGTTAATTATATCTTCAGATTAAGTTGATAGTTTGTTAAACGAGAATGTTTTGAGTGGCGTCAACGCCAGTCAGGAATAAAATGTTTAGGTCGAGAAGATCGAGGAGGAAAGAGCGGGAACAAAAAGCAGTTGATATGGAAATGTAGGAACAATGAAGTCCGAGACGATTGACTGATATCTACAAAATGAACAGTCAAGTTTGAGACAATTGATTGACATTTTGGAAATTAAGTATGTACTGTATGATTCTCAGATTTTACATTCGACTGTCCCCACTGTTGTTCTCGTTCACTACAATTGTACGCGATTCACTATTCACCAATAACATTATACCTGGGAAATTCATAGCCTTATTAAACATTATTGTACATACGATCATTATAGAACTAAGCGACCATGTTATCTGAACATAAATCATCTCTCTGACGATGCTTTATCGTTCTTCGCAGTCCGAGAAATCCATTATTAATAACTACTTAAAGTTATTAGTAATCGATATATATTAAATTGGATGAAAACTAAAATTTGTCTATAAATCATTCCTTTTTAGGGAAAAATAAAAAGTAAGTTTGATCTTATTTTTCAGATGGGGTGGGGCTAATTGGTTAAAGTTACTACTTATTCCATACTCTAGTCTAGTTTTTACATCTATTGTATGCTTTGAACCGATAAAGAAAATTGAATTAATCCGTATCATATTCCATTGAATTTCTTTTGCTTTTTCATAAGTTTTAGTTTATAGATCTTGTAATTGTCACTAATGATATTAACAATAGCAGTCGTATATTTTATCCATTCATCAGCTTTTAAACTTAAATCACAGTTGAATTGTCGTTTTTCTTCCGCATCAAAAATGCGGTAATCATAAAAAGTTAGTAAAATGATGCTAGATAGAAAATAAAAGTACTCTACAATAATAATACTAATAATAAATATCACATATTTTAAATGATGTGTGAAATTATCTAAAATTCTTTAGAAAGATTAAGTAAATTGTTGTTGTTATTATTATTATCATCAAAATTCGATGAGTTAATGGACCACCACAGAAAACCTGGAAGCACTGGACGGCCGTTCCATCCTGGCATGGGACTTCTTAGCAGTGCTCATCCACGATCCGACAAATGGGACTCAAACTTAGGTCCGGTATTGCGTGCGAGTGCTTAACCTCTAGATCACAGAGCTGGTATCCAGTGGTGTGAATGTTTAACTTCAATCAATCCATGATTTTGTGCAACCCTTCATCTATTGTCTGAAGTGGATACGTGTCTTACACCCAACACACGTTGGACTACACTGGTCACAGATTCTCATTAGAACTCCATGAAATCCGTCTTGAAGCTAGTCACTGATTAGCACATGATTTTTATCAATATGGATAACATATATGTATGCCACCGAATGCCCTGGTACGGCCGAAAATAGTGAGAGTTTTCTCTCCTTCTCGAAATGCTTTCACATGGCCGCACGTATACAGCTACTGCCAGGGAAGTCCTATTAACTACCTTCTCGAGACGGGGGTGCTGTTTATGAAATTCAGAGAACGAAAAGCGAATGTTCGGCGCTTTAACCAGGTAGATGGATATCGAGGATCCACCTAGAGGAGTTGGAAAACTATGATTCTAAATCAGTGGTGCACATAGGCTCCAGTATCCTGATGGAACAAGTGGCGCATGAACCTAATGTTGGTCACCAGCTACAGTGGGACTGCATATCCTGACGTTGCTGACCTTCAGGTCAGAGGCTCGAGATGTGGTCCTCCAAGTAAACCACCTTTTTCTGTTTGGGCATGCGAGCAGTATCCCAGCCCTCACACAAATCAAATGGTTTATGTGGCGGATTTCTATTCGCTGCCTCCTTGTATCAATGTTCATGCGTTTAAATAAATAAATAAATAAATCTGGGTTTTCACTGGTGGTCTAGTTTAGATGGGCTTGTGAATTCAACTGTGAAAATACTATAATCTTCATGAATCCCAATACTAACGTATGCAAATGTATATTTATAGGCACCTGATAAAAGAACAGCTACAAGTTGAACACATTGATGATGGTCAGAATAAAAATCAAATGGAGAGAAAGGATAAGATTAGAGTTTTCTAGATTATCTAAAATTAAACGCTAAACAATAAAAACACTTA